ACAGACCATCTTGTAGAATTCTTAAACAAGTTGATTCAGTGAAAATAATTTCAGGCGTTCAGCATCAGCTAGAGAGAGTGACCTCTGCCATGGAAGGCTTACAACAGCAGATATTACAGCTAAAGGAGCAGACCCAACGTAAGTTGCTTTGCTTGCTGCAGTATAAAACTAATCAAGTCATCGTGTTCTCTTCATTCATGTCTCCATTGTCTTTTAATATACGATTTTGTTGACCAATGATTTTTCAGCCTATTGTGATTCCCCTTTTGAATTTGTAAAATTGTTTAATACATTAAGTGATTACAGTTAACCTCAGTTGAACAACTTCCTCCAAACTCAACTTGTTGATCTCTGCTGGCGGGGAATTCAATAACCTGCTCATCCTTATCTAATTTTCCTTAGTTTATATATAATTTAACTGTTTTTTTGTATCTTTCTGTTGTTGTTATTCACTTAAAACTTGTGCCGGATTTTCTGTGAATATTATATAATAACAGATGATACTCTCCTTACGGCGGTAGAGTGAGATAAACATTTATGCCAGCACCACTACAGAGAGTTTACGGTCACTTGGTGCAACTTAACTCTAATACAAGTAATATTCTCTTAAAAGAACTATATAGATATTATTCCCATTTTGTCTCCCAGAACAGTAAAACAAGTTAAGTGCTTATTGAAATGAAAGACTTTAGTTAGCAAACCTTGGCAACTTTCAATTAATTATTGGTACTGCATGATTACATCTTACCTGTATATTGTCCCGAGTGACTGAATGAGAATTAGATGTGATGGTTGTTGGAGGTTAAGAAGGTAATTACTGTACTGTACTTTATGAATTTTAAGATGATCTATGTTTCCTTTTTAAACAGAAGGATGAGAAGCGTTGTTCCAAAAACTGGTAATTTTCTTTACTAATTTAATGTAATTCATAAATAAATCTACACTACAACAACTACACTATCATCTACACTACAACAACTACACTGTCATCTCCACTACAACAACTACACTATCATCTCCACTACAACAACTACACTATCATCTCCACTACAACAACTACACTATCATCTTCTCTACAACAACTACACTATCAACTACACTACAACAACTACACTATCATCTACACTACAACAACTACACTGTCATCTCCATTACAACAACTACACTATCATCTCCACTACAACAATTACACTATCATCTCCACTACAACAATTACACTATCATCTACACTACAACAACTACACTACAACAACTACACTATCATCTACACTACAACAACTACACTATCATCTACACTACAACAAATACTATCTACACTACAACAACTACACTATCATCTACACTACAACAACTACACTGTCATCTCCACTACAACAACTACACTATCATCTACACTACAACAAATACACTATCATCTACACTACAACAACTACACTATCATCTACACTACAACAACTACACTATCATCTACACTACCGCCACTACGCCGTCATCTACACTACCGCCGCTACGCCGTCATCTACACTACCGCCGCTACGCTGTCATCTACACTACCGCCGCTACGCTGTCATCTACACTACCGCCGCTACGCTGTCATCTACACTACCGCCGCTACGCTGTCATCTACACTACCGCCGCTACGCGTCATCTACACCATCACGCTGTCGCCGTCCATTCACACCGCCACCGCCGCCACGCCGTCATCTTACACCACCGCCGCCACGCCTGTCATCTACACCACCGCCACGCCGTCATCTACACCACCGCCACGCTGTCATCCACACCACCGCCGCCACGCCGTCATCTACACTACCGCCGCTTCGCTTCCATCTCATCTACACTACCACTGCGCTGTCATCTACACTACCACCACTCACGGTGCCATCACACTACCCGCCCTCGTTATCATCTACACTACGCCCTCACGCTGTCGTCTACACTACGCCACCCTACTGTCATCCTACACTACGCCACTGCGCTGTCATCACCCGCCACTACGCTGTCATCACACTACGCCACTGCTGTCATCTACCACTACCGCCACTGCGCTGTCATCTACACTACCGCCACTGCGCTGTCATCTCACTACCGCCACCTCGATTGTCATCTACTACCGCCCTACGCTGTCAATCTACACTACCGCCACTACGCTGTCATCTACACTACCGCCACTACGCTGTCATCTACTACTTCACCTAAGCTGTCATCTACACTACGCCACTACGCTGTCTCATCCTACACTACGCCACCTATTTTATCATCTCATCCTACGCCACCCCTCGCTGTCATCTCACTACAACAACTACGCTGTCATCTCCACTACAACAACTAAGCTGTCATCTACACTACCGTACTACGCTGTCATCTACCCTACCGCCACTACGCTGTCATCTACACTACACGCCACTACGCTGTCATCTACACTACCGCCACTACGCTGTCATCTACACTACCGCCACTACGCTGTCATCTCACTACAACAACTACGCTGTCATCTCACTACAACAACTACGCTTCCAGCCATCTACACTACCGGCACTCGCTCATCATCCTACACTACCGCCACTCACGGCTGTCATCTACGCCACTCGCTGTCATCTACACTACCGCCACTACGCTGTCATCCTGCGCTGCCGCCACTACGCTGTATCTACACCACGCCACTCGCTGTCATCTACACTACCGCCTACTGTCATCTCACTACCGCCACCTCACGCTGTCATCTACACACTACCGCCACCTCGCTGTCATCTACACACTACCGCCTCATTGTCATCTACGCTACCGCCACTCTCGCTGTCATCACTTTCCGCCACTACGCTGTCATCCTACACTACCGCCACTCACGGCTGTCATCTACACCACTACTGTCATCACACTACCGCACCCTGCGCTGTCATCTCACTACAACAACTGTACATCTACACTACCGCGCTACGCTGTCATCTGCACTACCGCCACTACGCTGTCATCTGCACTACAGCCACTCACGGCTGTCATCCGCTACCGCCACTCACATCAGCCTACACTACACGCCACTACGCTGTCATCTACACTGCCTTTCGCTGTCATCTCTGCAAGAACTGCGCTTCCATCTCACTACCCAACAACTACGCTTCCATCATCTCACACTACCTTATACACTATCATCTTCTCTACAACAACTTTACACTATCATACCACCGCCACTCGCTGTCATCTACACTACCGCCCACTCTGCTCATCTACACTACCGCCACTACGCTGTCCTTCCACACTGCCGCCCTTTCAGCTGTCATCTACACTACAAACAAATTGCCTTTTGTGTGTATAAAGTTCGTTTTCATTAGTTTTGAAAGGTCATGTCGTGTCATATTTTACTTTGGGTTTATTGGCGGCTTACACTGTTTGATCTTGGTGGGGTTCATGTATCATTAACATTATTAAGTGTATATCCTTGTTTTTTATAATGCTGCCTTTATAGTGTCTGGTTGTTTTGATGATGGAGACATATCAATATCGTATTCAAGTAAACATATTTATCTTTCATCACTTATAACCCTGTTTGTCGAAATTAAGTCCTGGAGCCAAATGTACTCAAGACCTTTCGTCTTAGTGCAAAGTGTTTTAGGAATTTCGATAATGACATATGTGTAGTAACAATATTATTAATAATAGTAATGTGTGTAAAACTTATTCCTTTTCCTTCAGTATTTGTTAATTGTTGTTGTTTCCCCCAGTAGATATTTTATTTCCACTCATTTAACATTTTTGTATAATTTTGTTAATTTGTTCTAAATTTTCAGCGTCCTGCTTCTTTCGGAAGGAGTTCTTCCTGTTAGAGCGTCGGTACCTTCTCTCGTCAACGGAGAAAAAAAAAGTTAGCTGGGCCGACGCCCGTCACTTGGTACCACAACGAAAGGAAGCGGCCATTATCCTCAAGACTCTCTACTCTCTCATCTCTCTGTTGAACTCATTTAACGGTAGTGATGAAGCAGTAAATATATTTACCAATGTTGCAGTTTACTATAGGCAAAGAATGAATGGCTTAATTTTGAATATTTGGAAAAGTGTTATATATTATGACCGGAAGTTGTACTCCAAATAAGCTACCGAATGCAATTTACTTAGAACCGAAGGTTCTAATAATTTACATATTATAAATTATATAAGTACCTTCGGGCTAAAATTATTGAGGTACAGCTTCAGCTGGTTTGTTGGTTATTAAGTCGGACATGCTTTTTGTGTTAATGTCTTATGCTGAAAGTAAATGATCACACCAGACATATAACTGTATTTCGGTTCATACCTTGTGACCTCTTGAGGATAATTCGGCTTTTGTTGTATGACACAAGCCAGCCATCGTAATACTGTGTTTTGGGCCAAGGTCAATATCAAGATCACACAAGGTCAGAATGACAAATGAAATGTAACCAAACCATCTGGCTTGTGTGCTGTCGACGCTTTAATGTAGTGGACAAAAGAAATAAACATAAGCTCGGAGAGACTTCTTCATGTTATAGTTTTTATCACAAAGAAACTCTGCTGTCATGTTGAGAACTCCGCAAAAGATTAGTCTTATTTTGACGGCATCTCCCGGACAGAGCGGGACAAAAGGGACTCTCCTAGTTCTAATGAAAATGTCACATTTTTGGCAGGCGGTCTTCCTCATAATTACAAATTGTTTCCGAGTGATTGTTGTCTGCCCTGGTGTCTGTTATTTGTAACTGTCAACGCCTTGTGTACGTCATGCTGTAATATTTTGTAGTGTTGATGTTTGTTTTCCTTGTAGTTGTTGAACACTTGTGGCTGGGTGGGTCTGACCTGGCTACAGAGGGGATCTGGCATGACGTATCAAGTAAACCCATCAATGTGAGGTCATCATTGTGGAATAAAAACCAACCGGATAACCACCAAGGAAATGAAAACTGCATCCACCTAAGTTATTCTGAGGGTAAATACGGATGGAATGATAATAAATGTGTAACAAATTATAATTTTATATGTGAGCATCAGCCAATATAAGATATAACACATCAGGTCCATAGGTTAGTTGAGGTTCCCTTGTGACTCTGTGGTCCCTGTTGGGTATGGCGGTTTATCTTGTAGAGTCAAGATGTCCTACCAGGCAGTTGTCTCTTTCCTCACTCTTACAGAGATGAGTGGACACTGGGCACACATACACTCAATATACAGTACAGTACAGTACAGTACAGTACAGTACAGTACAGTACGTGTGATTTTGAGTTTTGTACAATAAATCAGTATTTTTAATATCACAGGTGTATGTTATGCCCTCTGTTATCTTCACTATTACAGTTCTCATTATCTTGACCAATAAAGTTTTGCATACCAATATCTGCCTTTTGTTATTAAGATTTTATTGAACTGGTATAACATGATGTAAGGAGTTAACATGTCTGTTAACTAGGCCAGTACAGTGTTACCAACCACATGTATTAGGTTGTATAAAGTGCTTACTGTGATCATTATCACTGACAGATCAGGGATGGGGTCACTTATGAAGAGAATTGGAATTGATGTTTTATCAAGGTAATAAAATGTGTTTATTAAAGAGGTCATCGAATTGGTGTTTTTTTTTTCAAAGTTTGTTCAACATCTCTAATGTGTGAATCCAGTTTCATAGTTGAATGTTTTGAAGTAACAATGTATAGTCCCCTTCAATATTGCATTTATAGGGGGCTCGTCAGGGTTTGTGCTGTGTGGCAGTCTTGTGTTTATTTTTCATTCGACAGAAGGAAACTCGCGATAGTAAACCTACAATGGAATCAAAGTAAAACAATGTTAAACAAATATCTCAACGTAATGATTTGTTGAATGTTTATTTGACGAGCCCCTGTAAACGCGCTAATGACTGGAACTACATCGGTTGATGTGGGAACCCAGTATGACGTGTTTAATATCTTGCCGACTAAAATCGGACTAATATCGGTCAACTTACCAAACATGAAAAATATTACAAAATGACTTGACATAAAAACTCGCGTCAAAATACTGTTGGCAAATGTCAGTTAGGTTGAAACTTGAATGTCTCTAAAGTGAGGAGGGGCAGCTGGCCGCTAGCGACAGCCTAACAAGACGTACGATCATACAAATACAATAATTGAGCTCTGTGTACGATGTAGGTACCAAAATGTACTCGGACTATCCTTATGCTTGAAATGTCTATGATTAATCTGGGAATATCTTCCGAACACTGTATTTCAAGTACTTTTCACCGTAGACTTAAGACTCCTTCACAAGTCCAATTTCTGTCTGTAGGACAGTGTTGAATTAATTTTTATTTATGTCGGCAATTGATTTGAAATGAGGAAACAGAATTGACGTCACCCCTCTGTACAGATGTGATACCATTTACCAGTGAGTTATATATGTTAGGCTGAGTACAATTAACATGTTCTCTGTTGGGACACAGTGAGTTACAGCAGTGAGTGTGCTTGTCATTGAGAGGATGTTACAAAACAGCCGAGGACCCGTGGGTGAACTATTATTTAGTCTAGACCCGGAAGCTACCACAAGTCCTCGCAGCGAAGAAGGTGAACTTTCCAGAGATCTTTTATACAAACGAACCCCTGTCCTTTGATGCTTCTCTAAATGTGTTCATGCCGAATGATATTGTTAACGATAGAACACTACCCAGGCACGGGACTTGCTTAGAACTCGATATTTACAGCAGCAGATGCAGGGATGTTTGGGTCGCTTCTCGGTAGACAGATGCTTTTAGTAACAAGATATTTTTAACTCGCAGGTCGCTATGTTTAACAGGACCAGATTGACCACGTAGCTGTCGTTAAGATATTTATAACCCAGCAACACCTCACAGTGAACGCACCGATAACACCTTTCCCCAGTGTGTGTCACCCAAGGTAATGATAATGACTCACTATCCCTTGTGAAGAAATATAATGACAAAATATTTCCCTTCTGTTAGCGTAAACTTTTCTCTTTAGCTAATACACATATATTCCTCTGTAGCCGGTGGACCTTTGCTAGATTCCTGTGGCAATTTATATCTATGTGCATTAACGTAACACTCAATTGTTTATATTCTAAGAGTTCAGTACATGAATTCAGAGTTGATGTGTGTGTATGTGTGTGTTTGTTTGTTTGTGCAAAAACGATGTCTATACACACCAAAATTCAGTCATGTCATCTTATAGACTCAATCTTTGATATGATCCCTGAAACCGTCCAAAGGTTCACCTGGTCTGGCAAGATACACCTGAACATTTTCACAATCAAGGTGTATTTTCGATTGCGGTGTTTGTTTTGTTCTGTTTTTTGTCCTAAAGATACTTTAACAACACTCTAGGGACAACCACCATTACACTTGTGACGATTCTCTCCCCCTCACTCTACCATCATAACAACCACTTGCTCCAACTTGACGTCAGGAGAAGAAACTGCTTCACGAACCTACTCGACCCCAGTGAGCACCGATCAGAACCAGTTTCCCATCCGACTATGAGACCGAGGTATCGAGGCAAGCGTGTCTGCCTTATAAGCTCAGTCTCTTTCCGGCCAACGGTGATCCTTTTCTGCCGGGGTGTGGACGAAGGATTATATTAAGGACTACTGCTGGTGGTGTTGTGATGGTTTGCTGGTTGTGGACTACGGCGGTAATCCCTGGTTCCTTGTGGTTGGCCATCGCAGTCTGGACATGCTCACTGAACTGCCATTTCTATCAGGTTTTTATGTTGTTGTATATTATAGTATGTGTATTTAATGTTTAAAGTAAGAATAATCAGGTAATATTGATAATTGTACATTTGTTTTTCTTGTTATGCAATGTACCCAATTAACTATATTAATCAATCGTTAATAAAATAAATTTCATTAAATGACTCGGTTGGCATTATAATCTTATCCCTTTCATAACTACCTTAATGCTAACTTAACCTAACCTAAACCTATTCTATCCTAACCTAAATCTAACCTAACATATCCTAACCTAACCTCATCCTCCCAAAATAGTTTTAGGATGGTTTAATCTTTAGGTGAAATAAGCTGAGGCGATGATTCTTCAGGTGATCCCTTAAATTTGTGTCACGATAACAGTGATTCCTCTGAGTGCTCCTTACTTGTTGCATCCACGTATTTCAATCCCTAAAATATTCACTCGTTATGTTAGCTTGTCAACTTCGCCTTTCCTTAATGTTGTGAGTAGCAAGGACGGACATCATACTCTGTTAAGAGATGTCAACTTACAGTACCATCTTCAACATGGCAATCTATATGAAAAGAGCAATATGGACACCAATTTAACCGGACAATACATGATGGTCGAGAACCAACATTTATGAATGATGACTGTATGAGCGACAAGTCACAACATCCCCAAAACTATGGACTAGATTATTGATATGTATCAAGAAAATAAGTAAAGCCTTTCCTCTTTTTTTTAAGCCATTTTTTTTACTCCCAGAATTTTTTTGAGCTACCAGTAATTTTTTTTTAACTCCCGGTAATTTTGTTATTTGCGCCCAGCATTTTTTTCCCGCCCATTGATTTTTATTTTAACGCCCGGTATTGTTTTTCATTGACGCCCAGTAATTGTTTTTAATGCTAGGTAATTTATTTTATTGGCGCCCAGTATTTTTATCCAGCCCAGTATTTTTATGAACGTTCAGTATTCTACGTGATGAGTTGTAAACTGTGCAGCGGTTGTGTGGTCATTGTTACAGGGGAAGAAATGCCTCTCACTGCTGCTGTTGATGTTTTGATGCTCATGTGTCTTCAGTAGTAAGTACATGTATTACACCATACTTATATTGGTCAGGTGTCTCTCTGCACCACGAATAATTTAGGTCAAGTAGTTCTTTAATGTAATTGATGTTTATGCTCGTTTGGGGAAATTACGACGTAGTTAACAAGTTGGGTTATATTACCTATTAGACTTGGCGTAAGATTTCGTCGTTAAAAAATACCCATCTCATACCAGAGTTTCCTAAGGTCGACGACTCCCGAGTAGGTACACGATATTGCCTCAAGTGTAGAGTTGTTACTGCCACCATCTGTGAGAGACAATTATTATGATAATAGTGATTTAATTTTGACTTTTTAGTTTTTCACTGGAGACTCGAGTTGATGATGAAAGTGTGTGTGTGTGTGTGTGTGTGTGTGTGTGTGTGTTTTGTGCCTCGAAGTTTCTATATATATTGTTGTGTAGTGACGTTGAAGGATCTAACTTTCAAGACATTAAAACAGACTCAGCTGACAACAGTGGTCACATATCTGTATATATAATTATAAAACCGGGTATATGACACTCATACCTGTATCAGAGTCGTGGTTTTGTGTGTTGTTCTCGAGACCTCAAGCAGTTAGTGGACGGCAACACATCCTTCACCCGATACTGCTCCTCAGTCCGCGAGTCACTTAGCATAACCTTCGTCAATCTTTTGATTCCGACGGGTAACTTTATACTGATCCCGTCGGTTCACCTTGTGCGGATTCCGTCGGTTAACCTTGTACTGCACTAAGTGTTCCAGTGATAGCGATTAGGGGTCTCTAAGGCATAATCGTATATACCCCCTTACAAGAAGTGTAAGGGCATAGCATCAGGAGGCCGTAGGGAGCCAGGAGGTAGGCACAATATATTCACTCCATCTGCCAGAGAACCTTTCGTTAAGGAAGATACGTTAGCAACTGGACGCTCAGATTACAATGTTTTATCACGAAAAAACAAAAACACACAACTTGATATCATGCTGAAACTCATCTTAGGTAAATCTTATACCTGGCTGTAAATCTTGTCTTGGCCAGGAGTCTGGTCGACCTAGACAGAGGCGGGTGAGCGGACACATAAACACAGTCCTCTCCTCCCCCCCGCCACACACACACACACACACACACACACACCTCTATTAAGGCAACAACTTTACCATTAATACTAACTGGTATTGTACGTTCATTCTTAATAGTTTGACATCATCGGTGTGATCACTTCCCCCATAGGTCACTGGCCATCTAATTCAACAAACCAGCGATGATAATCACTTAGTTACAGGCATAAATGTTCATCTCATGTACACACAGTTTAAACGTAATTTGGGCGGACAAAGGAAAAGGTATAAGGATAGTCTTAAGACAAACCTGGGAGACGATTACTCCACACTGTAACGCTTGGAGGAGCACCGCGCGAGGTGACAATGCTTTCGAGTTAGCTCGACTGTATACCACGGCAGACAAGCGCCATCGCCGAGAAGACAGTCCCGCTTCCCCTCCTGCACTAGATGTAGCCCTCCACACGTGAAAAATCTGTGGACGACCCTGCCGGTCCCGCATCGGCCTCTCTAGTCACCTCAGAACTCACCAATGAAGGTGACGTCCCTAATAACTCGTATCATTATATTATAGCTGGAAGATCGTCATACTCGATTCCGAGTGACAGCAAAGTAGCACTGTGTGTGTGTGTGTGTGTGACGGTCCATTAAGCCTTATATAAGAACTTAAGTTTGTGATAAATTAAGATCTTTTATGGCTATAAGTTAATGGGTATTATATATATTATTTATGGTTAAGTTTACCGTTTCATATAAGATTTGTTTTGGTATTAGAGCATTATAATCCCCCCCCCCCCCTTCTTCTACGGTCCTTCACTCTGTCCTTCTCCCTCCCTTTCATTTTTAATTTGTCTCCCTCCCCTCTTCATCTTTCCTTGACCATCTCTCTCTTTTTATTCTATTTCCTCCCCCTCTATCTCTCTCGTTCCTCGACCATCTCTGTGTCTCTATCTCATTTTCTCATTCTCTCTTTCTTCTCCTCCTCCTTCCTTCCTCTACCCTCTCTCTTTCTCTGTCTCTTCCCTCCCGCTCTCCCCGGTGCAACTGTGTCAACAACGTCCGTCTTGTTTGTATTACCATAAGATCGTATGACGTCACTCACTGGTTAAGTCGACCCTCTGTCTGTTCATGTGTTGCGCATGTCCTTCATGAGTGGATAAAGTGTACAGGAGATGTTTGCTTCGAGTTTTTGGTTGTGTGGTTTTAAATTAGACAAGCTGATATTTAGGCGCGAGATGTATAAACATTGGTTTGAAAGGAAAATAGTGGATGAGTGGAACAAGTTACCGAACATAATCATTAACTCGAACACGCTGGGTAGCTTCAAACATAGTCTGGACGGATGTATGAGCGATTAGAAAGGGGTTTGGTGTAAACGGGACTGCCCACTATGGGCCAAAAGGCCCGCTGCAGTTTCCTCCATTCTTGCGTTCTTATAATAATAATAATAATAATAATAATAATAATAATAATTATTAACGGTTTAGTGAAAGAGCTTGGCAGCCAGAAGGCTGAAAATATACAGTTACATATTTGGGGAATGGGTATCGTATTACAAATAATATACAAGTAACATAAGTGATACAAATAAGATATATAATAACTAGATGGGGAAAAGCTCAAACTACAGTTCATTTCAACATAGTGACAGTGCAAGATGTAGTATTTACTGGGAGTGAATATACTGGTTTATTACAAGTTATTGATAATTTTTACAATGGTTGGGACTGGGCTGTTGTAAGGGAGGAGTAGAATGGTTCTAAATGGTAGAGGGGAGATAAGGGAATGACTCTAACGGGTGATATAAGACGAAGGCAGGAGGTTGAAAAATGCCCTAACGCACACACCTCAACAACAACAACACTTGTTGCTACGCCCAGGCGCCACGTTGGCGCTCTTGTGTGTGTGTGTCTTTTCCCCTCTCTATTTCTCTATCTTTCTTTCTTTCAATGAAATATACCGGCGATGTTAGGTCAGGTTAGGTCAAGTTAAGACAGGATGGGTTAGGTTAGGTTAGGTACATGGGAGTCCAGGAGTCCTCTTGTATTGTGATCTATTATAGTCCCGACTCACCTGTGAAGTGCATAGAATTGTTTTATATAGTCTCCCTTCACACACGCATAACAATGGAAGCCCCTCGAAATCGAGGATGGCCGGCCCTAGGGCCACCTAGCCGTGAATTTGTTTAAGGTGTAAAAGCTGTCGCCAAAACAACCACCACACCCTAAGTTAACGAGTTGCATGTCCCATTGTCGAGGAATAGTTCGAGAAGACCGGACAACTTGCTAACTGCACTGGCTAACCACTACTCCAGAATACGATCCGCAAATCGATTAACATCCAGGTCCCCAATTGCTGCTGGGTAGACAGAGGGAAATGACAAAAAAAAATTGCCCATAGTGTCACCCTGCCTGGGGATCGAACACGAGTCCACTCGCTTGCGAGGAGAGCATGCTGACCATTACACCATAGGTCGACACGCACACACACACACACACACACACGCATACACATATACATCTCCAAAGTTGTGTAGAATATATGATACCTCTATTATTATTATTATTATTATTATTAGCTAAATATATCCACCTTACTGCACTTAACCTAATCTAACCTAACTTAACCCTCCTCATAAGACGTTAATGAGTTACACCATTAAGATTGTGGCGCCAAACCAGTCAATTAGCAGCGAGAAACGTAAGTAGCCTTCACTCAGCCCGTGTAGGTCTGTAGGAATGTTCGTCTCCTTTACTCCTCGACCTCAGCATCCCAACGAGTCTGTTTACTAACCCTGAAAAAGAGAGAGAGAGAGAGAGAGAGAGAGAGTGTGTGTGTGTGTGTTGCGCCATAAACACTTGTACGTTCATGTACGCGTTCACTTATCGTAGAGTATAAGAGGAGCCACAGCCCACTGTCCAGCATCAGTCCCTCTCTACTGCCAGTGACAAAGACCATGGCGCTCCTGTTACTTATTACCCTCGCCCTCACCCTCCTCATCACTCCAACCACAAGCATTAACACGGTCGACACAGGTACCTCTTATATCCAGTCAGATGG